CCGGGGCCCGGGCGCTGCGGCGGCCAGCGCTCCCACAGCGCCGCTTCGGCCGGCCCTGGCCCCGGCCCCGGCCTCGACATGCTGGCCCCGCGGCTGCCGCTCCACCTGCAACAGCACAGGCACACTTTGCAGCCAACCAAGAGGGCTTTCTCAACATACATTTGTAAGAGGAAACTGACACTCCATTTACTGAAAATATTTCTTTCTCTTCCTTTAGCATTATCCATTCTGAAAACTCAATTTAATAGAATAAGCGGTAAAGCATTTTGCATTTTGACAAAATATTTTATCTACATAAATATTAAACATTTTTTAAAACTGTTCTTTCAGTGTTATTATGAGTGATACATCTGAAAACTGTAAAAGTTCATAAACTTAACTTTAACAAATTCTGAGAATTACATTCAAACATTTAACATTGCCAGGATATGGTATTCCGTGTTTCCTTCGACCCATACATTCTGAAGAGAGATTTGCACCCCTGACTTGTGTTTGTTGTAAACATGTTGCTGTCACAGTGTTCCAACAAGCTATTAGATTATCCATTCAGTGTCATGCAAGATTTGCAAGTCTGGCTTGTGCCGCATGTAAAATTGTCGTTGACACATTGTCCCAACAAGTTATTCTACTGTTCATCCTCTCGCAAGACAGGCTATTCTATTTTGCATTGAGTCTTAACGGAGCCGTTGCGAACACACCGGTGGTTTCGCAGCGAGGATGAGGGCATTGGGCGACTGCACGCGCTATTCAGCCGGCCTGCATCTCCGTCTCCACGTCTCTTCCTCCTAACGGTATGATCGAGATCAAATAACACGGGGTCGGTACTTAGCTTTTTTCACAATAGAGACAATTAAGTGTAATGTATATGTTTGTATGGTGTGGGATATCTTGATGGATTTTCCTTAGTGTAATATGCCACAACGGCCAAAATATGCTTCGTGCAAAATTGAGACCGCAATGTTACTGTAAAGCGACTGTTTCGGCTATTCCAATCGTCCTCCTCCACCATGAAAGAAATAAACTGTGATGTAAATTAACGAAGTTGGATGACGAGATGACGGACTAATGAAGTAAACTGCGCGACTAGCATGTTGGGCGAGAACATTCTCTTTCCCTCCCTGGCGCATCAGGTTCTCTCTTGCAGTTCCAAATCGATGGGGGCACCAAACGTGAACCCCGGGCCCTGAGATTAGACACATGAGGTTTTGCATTGGTTTGGAGGGACGTTTTATCCTCCTAGGATCGTGTGAAAGTTTAATGGTTTGGTA